CCCCCCCCATTGAATTTTTACGGGCATGATCGTCGGTCAACGCGTGCTCCGAATCACGTAATCACATATTTGCAATCATCGTTTACTTTCGAGTACACAATACAGTGTAAATATTCGTACACTCACACGTCACATGCACCTGCGCGCGCGCGTACGCACGCACGCGACACACACACACACACACACACACACACACAAGCAGACAACCACATAAAATAAACTATTTAAATAGAGAGAAGTAGAGTATAAAGACGCTATAAAACACTGTGTGCAGAAAAAAAAGTAACAAAGGTACCGTAACTAGTTGTGATATTTTATTATAATGGCGATAGCTGGCGCAGTTAATTTCGATCGGGCTCTCTCACGTGCCCGACGTGTATACATATAATATATACATATAAGCCCGTATTCTGAACTCTCTTTTATCGACAAAAATGCCTTTAAGAGTAGTTTAGGAACCACTTGATTGCCCGAGGAGCCACGGTTTAAGGCCACTTTTATCGACACGAAAGAGAGCGCCGAGAATACGGTGCCATAAAGCATACAGAAGTATATCGTATAATCCTAACGGACGTATTAATTATGCGCGGCGGAAGGGAGATCGCGCGTCGTCACGGTGGAAAAGGCGTGTTGACGTTCGCCACGGCACACGTTTATCGCGTGATTGCTTAGGTGATATCCTCGCTTTCTTATCGGATAACGCGCTTGCCTCGGGACACGTTTCTTCCAATACAGCCGGGAACGTGACCGATGGCCCAACGAGAGAACCCATTTCCGATGAACTCTCAGAAGCTTCGGTTCTCTCATTGGGCCATCCGCTGCGTTCTAGGCTGCGTCGGCAGGAGAGTGCGCGCGTCGCGGGAACTTTCGTTGTTCTTTTCGCTGTAACGTCATTGTTTTCGTTTCATAGACATGTAGAATAAACTTAGCATTGCCGTTGGAGGGCTGAAGCCAAGATGGAAGGACAGAGATATGTTAACAGTGGAGCTTTCTCCGTTACACTGTAGGAAGGGATGAT